CACGGAGTGGCCACCACCAGCTGCCACTCAAAGATGGGAGAAGGTGGGCTGCAAGAAACAAGCCTGCACCCTTTCCAAATCCCTCCTCTCCAGTCCCAATGGCACAGGAGGAAATGCTTGAGTTTGGGGGACAGGACGGGGTTCAGTTCCCAGGTCTGCCACTTCTTAGGGATGTGACCCTAAGACAAGTCACTTCACCACCTGGGAAACCGGGATGCTAACACCCACCTGGAAGGATGGAGGACAGGATTTGAGGGGATGTGGGCTTGGGTGGTGGGCGCCTGCTGCCCGGCGCTCTGAGCCCTTCCCCCTCTCTGGCAGAGCCCCTCCACTCCACTCAGTCCTGAGCTGGGTCCTCAGGGCGTGCAGAGAGGGGAGCCCCAAACTGCAGAAAGTGGCGGCTGGGGGGCGCTGAACTTTCGAACCCGCACACACCTCCCCCCCCAAGCGCCGTTCATTACCTTAACAGGAGTTAAAAATAACCGTCTCATCTCTTTAAATTAGTCTGTCTGCAATTACCGCCTGGCACGGCGCTGCCCGCCATCGTCCCGCTGGAGCGGCGCCAGGTGGCAGGCGGGGCCCTCACCCTGTCTGTCGGTCTGTCTGTCTGCCTCCAGGTCACCCCCTTCTCCCCGCAGAGGCGCAGCCACCCCAGGGGCCTCCCGGCGGCCCTGCCTCCCAAGCTCCCCAAGTTTCTAGGGAGGGGGCCGCCGGCGGGGCCACGCGGCGGGCAGAGTGTGGGGCCTTCGGGGAGCAGAGGACTGGGGGGGGGAGGGGCGCGGTGGCGAGGGAGGGGCGCCGGGAGGCCCGGGAAGCCGGAAGGGCCCGCCGCGCGCCAGCGCTCGTGGGTGGGTGTGAGCAGGTGGCCGTGGGAGTCTGCCGGGCGTGCCAGCAACTGTGCCAGGAGCGGCTGGCACGGGCTTGTGCCCAGGAGGCGGGCAGCTGCCAGCCCCCCGCTCGTGCAGCGCGGGGGGTGAGGACACCCCCCAACCCGGGCTCACACCGCCTCTTCCCGCACCTCCACCAGCCCTCGGGGCTGGGGATCCCCGGAGGACAAAGAAGAAGGAGGGAGCCCTGCTGGAACGGGCTGGGGGGAGGAGAGAAGGGGGAGCCCCTGCACGCACAACCACCGCTCAGTCGGGCTGTAGCAGGACCCTCCTCCCGGCCTCTCAGATCAGTCCCTCCCCTCTAGCCCCCACCCCACCTAGGACCTACTGGCCCGCCTGGGCCGGATGGGGGGGGACACCCCCCCCTCCTGATCCCCCCCCACAACAGCCAAGCTGCTCCAGGCACTGAGGAAGAAGGGAAATCCCCATCCACTGGGCTCCTCCCCCACCAGTCCCGTGGACAGGAATGGGAGGCACCCAGGCCTGGCCTGGGAGCTCCCAGGGGAGCTGGCAGCCTGGAAATACAAAAGCAGGCGGAATAACTCCAAGGGCGCTAAGTGGAAGGAGCACCAGGACGCAGAGCAGCCTGGAAGGCTTCCCGGAGGAGGCAGGTGGGGCTAGAGTGTCTGAGAGGAAGTAGGAGGCTCTACCTGGATGTGGGATATCCACACTTTTGGGACACTGGAGAGGGAGGGAGACTCCTGTCCAAGCCCTCGTCCCAGGCCTGGAGACCCTCTGCCCTGACGGCAACACTACCAGCCTCTCTGGTGGTGCTCCCAGCACTAAGCCAAGACTCTCTTCGGGCTTCAGCCTGTTGGGTGCCTTAGGCCTGCTGTTGATCTTGCCTCCTCCAATTCCTCTCTGCAACACCTCTGAACTATCTTCCCACATCACAGGTGGGACCACAGAGCAAAGGCCAAGCACAGGGCCCTCACTCGGCCTTTCCTACGCCACAGCCCTGCCATCCCACGCTCCTAGCCCTGCCTAGGAGCCCTTGGTTCCAGCCTGGCACACCCAACAGTCTCCCAAACCCAACATATGCGATTCCACCTCCTTGCCTTTGCGTACGCAGTCAATATCCCTTGGAAGACTTTCTCCCCAATTCTACCCCCCCACCCACCCAGAGAAGACAGACCAGATCAAGTGCCATCTTCTCTGTGAGGGCTTGCCTGGCTCCCCAGGGGACCTGCCCCACTCTCCCCACACCCCTACTCCCACCCCCACTCCCCGGCCCCCAGTCCTGCCTGCAAGACAGAGGGCTTGCGTGTGGAACTGGCTGAGCCCTGATGCATCCTGAAAGCAGGTGCAACGCCTTCCCCTTCGGTCCCCCCACTCCATCTAACACAGGGTTCGGTACACTCCAGGGACTCAAGTGCAACACTTACGTGGGGGAGGGGAGGGAGGAAGGAACAATGGGGTCCCTGGCCCCAGCCCTGGCACCTGCGGTGTACCACAGGCTCTGCTAACCGGAGGGTGGCTGGGAGTTGGGAACGGCCTGCCACCAGGGCCCTGGAGGGGCTGACTGGGAATGGGGGAACAGGCATTAGGAGGGACAGGAATGAGAGGGGAAGGAGGCTCCCTGGGGAGCTGGATGGGGGGTGGGGTAGAAGGAAGACAGCCACTGAGGGGATGAGATGGGAAAGGCCAGGGGCCTCTCTGAACAGCCCTCCTCCAGTGCCTTGGGGGTCTCTGCCAGGGCCTAGGTCAGGAGCCCAAGGCTGAGGCTCCCTCACCAATGCCCTAGCCCAGGACAAGCATTCCTGAGCCCAGGCGCAGGGAGAACCAGTGTGTCCCCAGCAGCGTGGTGCAGTGGAAACTGCATCCAATGGGCAGGCGGGAGGCCTGGGCCATCATCCAGGGCCTGCCGCTCACTGATGACCTGAGAAGAGTCCCATTCCCTTCCAGGGCCTCAGTCTCACAGTCTGAGAAATGAACACATGGGACTAAATTATCTCCAAGTACCTTCCCAATCACAGTCTAGGATTTAGATCTGCCCCTGTTTGAAAGCTGTCAGTGTCCCCCTCCCACATCCAGTGCCAGCAGGACACTATTCCAGAGGCTCTGGGTCCCTGGAGGGAGACACATCTGGACTGGAATCCAGTTTTCCCATCTACTGACTGTGTGACCTTGGGCAGCTCACTCCTCCACTCCCTGCCTCAGTGCCCAGCCCTATAAGTAGTGACAGTAAAACCCACCTCAGGGAGTGCAGAGAGCATTAAAGGAGACACCTGGCAGAGATGCCTGAAGGTGCCTGGCATGGGGCTTGGCCCTGAGACCCTCAGTGAACTGCAGTTCTCTCCCAGCTTCAAGCCTCATGTTCCCTCTTGCCATCTTCCCCATCATCCCTCACCCATCAAGCCCAGCTGGAGCTCTGCCTCCTGCAGGAAGCCCTCCTGGCTTATTCTGGCCCATAGTACCCTCCCTGGCCTCAGCACCCTCTTCACTATCCACGTATTTCTTCACTCTTTTATCAGACATGCACTGGTAGTTCCCAGTGCCAGGCTCTATGCTCGGTGCCGTGGGTACAGAGATTGTTCTGACACTGCCACTGTCTTCCAAAGCGGGTGGGGAAGGGAAATGAGACAGGACACAAAAGACTAAGACCTATGACAGGTAGGGAGAGGGCCAGAGAAGAGGGAGTCCTGAGCTAGCTAAAAAGGGTTAGGGAAGGCTTCCTGGAAGAGGCATCTGAACTCTGTGCCCTTGAGGACAGGGACTATCTACAGGGAGAAGTGAAGGGTGGGACAGTACATGCGAGGGAGGAGGGAGCAAAGCACAAGGGCAGGACCCATTTAGGAGGAACAAGTGTTCCGGAGGGGGCTGAGCCCAAGGGGACCGGAGAGAGGATGGAGAAGGAGACTCATGTGCGCCCCTCCAGCCTGTGTCCCCACCCAGTAGTGGCCACAGACAGACAGAGAAGCTGCCAGCGAAAAGCCTGAGAGCCATGGGCTCCCGGGGCAGAGCACCGTGGCCCCTACAGTGCAGCCCCTGGGCATCTTGAGCTGTCCATGTCCGCAAGCCTCCCCGCCTCCCCCAGCACACCTCCTTCCTCTGACCCTGCCTATAGGCACCACCAGCCAGAGCCCCTTCCCTCCATTCAGGCATGCCTCCCTCATAGAGACTCCCCTCTCCCACAGGGAGTCTCACAGCTCACAGGCCCTAGGCATGGCCCGACCCCCACCCCACCCCAGTCTCCTCGCCCTCAAAGGCATTGACTATCCCCCTGCCCCAACAAGTTGGCCAGGGGAGGGTCTGGAGGCCACAATCCCGTCAAGACCCTGTCGTCGCCCAAGATGGCTCCCCCCTTTCCATTGGTTGGTACTGAGGCCTCCCTGGGGTGCCCCTCCCCTCTCCCCCTCCCCCAAGTGCATCTGGGCTCAGAAAGCCAGGGAAGTGGAAGACAGCCTGGGGTGGTCATGGACAGATCCCCAGGTCTCAGTACCTTGCCCTCACACCAGCAGGGATCATCACCAGCCCACCACGCTGATCCAGGCAAGGGGGGCAGCAGCTGCCCCATGGAGAACTCAGATCTCAGGTCACCTGACCAGTTCCCCACCCTAGGCTGGCTGGTGCCCTAGAGTGAACTCCTGGCACCACAGAAAGAACTGTGGGCCTAGGGTCGCATTCCTCACCCTGGGGCCAGCTCCAGGGAGGGCAGTGGGAAAGATTTGGGAGGAAAGCAGCCACTGGCCTCAAGTCATTATTTCAGCTCTTCAAGGAGGGTGCCCTGGTGGAGAGGGTAAAACAAGAGTAACACAAAGCAAACTCGTGGGGTTAAGAGGGGGGTCCCCAATGTCTGAGGCCCGAGAATAGGTTCTTCTGCTATGCCCCCAAGGATGGGGTGAGGGTGTCCCTCGAGAGTGCCTCAAAGTGGCAGTCCCTTGTCACCCCACCAGACCTCCCACCTCGCATCCAGAGCATGCACACAGCTGCTCCCAGCACGCCCCCGCCTGTCTGCCGGCCGGCCCCACGCCCTGGGCACACACTCTGTGACTCCTGGGGGTGCCCCAGGGCCTCCCTCTAGACCGCCCGCCAGGAGCCCAGACGCATCTAGCAGCCCCTGGAAGCCCCAGCCGACGACTCCAGACCCCCTCCCCTGCCGGACGCCCCCACCTTCCAGCCGGCCGAGCTGTTGCTGTCGCCTTTATCCTTGAAGTAGGGCACGTAACGGACCATCCAGTCGTAGATCTGCGAGAGCGTGAGCCGCTTGTCCGGGGCGCTCTCGATGGCTTTGGTGATGAGGTCGGCGTAGGACAGGTTCCCCCACGCGTTCCGCCGGGAGCTCTTCGCTTTCCGCAGCGGTCCGACCTCCGCGCCCAGCGGCGGCGCTGGGGCCATCGGCGGGGCCGTGGCTCGGCGCTCCGGCCCGCAGTCCTCAGCGCCCTCGGCCACCCCTGAACCCAGCGCTCCGTCCTCGTCGCCGACCAAGTCTGGCTGCGGCAGGGGCCAGGTACACGAGCGCGGCCGGCTCTGCGGCGCGAAGTCCGGGTCCACGTCCACCTGATGCGCTCGCAGCTTCGCAGCCATGGTCCCGCCCGGCTCGGGCGAGGAGGGGAGGGGGACTCCTCGGATGGTGGGCGGGCGGCTCTGGGATTTGCGCGCCCCGGGGAGGCCCGCGGGAGGGGTCCCTGGCGGCGCCGGCTCAACCGCGGGGCGCCATGGGCCGGGTCGCGGAGACAGGGGGCTGGACGCGCTGGGAAGCCCGAAGGGAGGGAGAGATGGGGGCAGTGAGGGAGCGGCGGCCCCGGAGCCCAGCGGGCACACACCTCGCCCAGCCCCGCTTCTAGCACCTGCCGCCTGCCTGCGCCTGCAGCCACCACCGCCACCGTCTTTGCCGCCGCTCCCCCGGCGCCGGCCCCGCACGCGGGCCCTGCTCTCCCGGGACGGGGCCGGATTGCACCATGCCGGAGCCCGAGCCCGTGCCGGAGCCCGCGCCGCCGCCGCCCCGTGAATGCCGCCGCCGCCGCCGCCGCTCCGGCTCCAGCGCCAGCTCCCGCGCCTGCCGCGCTCAGCGCCGGCTGCACCTCGGATGGGCGGGGGACGGGGAGGGGGCGGGCCCGGCGCGGGAGAGGGCGGGGCGTGCCCGCCCGCGGCCGTGGAATCCTCGGCCGGCCGGGTGCCCCGCCCGCGGGCTGGAGGCGGGGGGGCGGGGCTCCCGGCCGAGGGCGACCCTGCCGCAGCCCCAGCACGCAACAGCGCCGCCTACGGAGCAGGGGAGGAGCGGCGGATGCGACCCCGCCCCCTACTTTGAGCTGGGGGAGGGGGCGCGGGAGCGAGGCCCGAGCGCTCTCATTGGTCCGCAGCAGGGCTGTCCCGCCCACGGACTCGGCTGGATCCCTCCCCGAAGCGCGTCAGCCGGTTATTGTTACAACCCGGGGTTTCCCGGGGCAACGGGGATGGGGCGGGGCTCAGAGCACTTGGCTCCGCCTTCTATTCCTGGGAGGAATGCCCCGCCCCTGTTTCTAGACACCCCCCCCATCACCCCCACCCCCACCCCGCCCCGGTGTTTCCAAGTCTTCATTCCAGAAACCTGGTGGGGTGGATGATGGAGCTCTCCTCTTCTTTGTGCCCTGGGCTGGAGAAAGGGAGAGGGTCAAGAATACCTGTGTTCTGGGTCAGGCTTGGCCACAGTTTTGGCTTCTCCATCTGCAAGTTGTTTTTCGTGGGCTTTCAGGGTGCCTGAAGTTTAACGTGTAGTAGAATCAACCTGGCGAGCTTGTTAAAACATATTGCTGTGCCCCAGTCTGGTAAGTCTGGGTTGGGGCTTGAGACTCTGCATTTCTGAGAAGTTCCCAGGTGATGCACCCTGGACCACACTTTGCAAACCACTGTTTTAGAGTCTGTGGGAGGCTCTTGCAGGGGCTGTTGGAGCAAACACTTGCCCCAAATTTCATCCTGTTTGGGGAGAAGTTGCTCGTTCATTTAACAGTTATTTATTGAGCACCTTTGATGCACCAGGCACTGTTGGGGCTACTAAGGCAAGAGCAGCAGCAGAGACAGATGAGGTCCCTCCCTCATAGGCTAGTGGAGAACTCAGATGTAAGTCAGATCATCATACAGCCTCAGAAGGAAGAGGTCGGATGAGCAGTTGGGCAGCCCATTACCTCATCCCACAGGGCCCTAGGCTAGGTTTCCAGCCAACACTCCACCTGCCAGCCTTTGCTTGGTGCATCCCCTCTGCCTAAAACACCCTTTACCCTCCTCAAGGTCCTCCGAAGATTTTCCCATTCCTCAAAACTCAGCTCAACTTATCCCTGACACCTTCTTTAACCCAGCTCCCAGCACTTGCCCTTGTCCCTTGCTTGCCCAGACCACTGCTGCTCTGCCAGTAATATCTATGTCCCTTTAGCCCAATATTTCTCTTTTGCCAGTCAGGAAACTGAGGCCCAGAGTGGGCAGGTGTCTTGCCCAGATGGAATGGCCAGGACTAGAATCTAAGCTCACCAGCCAGTACCACATTCCTGGAGAGGTTGGAGACTGCAACTTGCAGAAAGTTCTCTGGGCAGTGGGAAGGCTGGTCCCAGGCCACAGGAGACACCCCTCTCTCAAAAATTCCTTCCTTTCAGCTTAGGTCCCAAGGAGTAGGGCCAAGGGTGAGGGTGCGGGCAGGGCTGGAGGGGCCCCTCCTCGCCACCCCCCCCCAGGGTGGGAGCAGGTCCAGCTTGCAAATGCCTGGCGTGGCATCTGCCTGAGTCACATCCCGAAGGCAAGAGTGGGCATGGGAACCATTGGCTGTCCCCTTTCTGCTTACATATACACACACACCCTCCAGGTGGTTCTGTTTAGAGTCAGAAGGGCCCTGAAATCACTGCTGGACCCCCTCCCACAGTTCTCATATGCCCTCCCTGCCTGGGGAGCCCATGCTGAGGGCTGCCCCCTCAGGTACCCTGGAAGCCAGGCAGGCCTCCTGCTGGTCTTCAGCCCTGGCTTAGCCTGCTCTGTGAGACAGGGCCTGCTGGGGGCCATACCAGAGCTGGGAGGATCCTTAGCTGGGGGCCCTGGCACAGGCTGCCACTGCGGGGCTGGGAAGCCAGGTTGGCCGAGACGCCCTAGAGGCTGACTCAGGCTCTGCTCCGGCCCCTGCCCCTCCCAGTGTCCACAGCTGCTGCCTGGAATCTCTCTGGGACCCACACTGGCACACTCAGCCCCCGCTCCCCCCCTGCCACACACACACACTCACACCTACCATGCACACCAACGCTCATTTTTCTCTACTCACAACTTGGTTCCTGCTCACATGTTCATTGTGAGGCTGTATAACATAGGGATTAAGTGTATGGACAAGTTCCTTAATTGCCCAAAGCCACTATTTCCTAATCTATAAACGAGCATCATCATAGCACGAGCTTCAGAGGCTATTTGAAGGATTCCGTAAAATCGTGAATGTCAGCACCAGGCTCAGAGTAAGTGCTCAATAATCCTAGCTGTTTTTATTACTGTTGGTGTAATATCTTCCCTCCCTATTTGTCCCAGGTCACACTGTCCCACCTGCTCTCACCACGCACGCACTGGTGTCCACTCACACACTCGGGCTCACTCGCATGCACACTTGCCTATGTCCCTTACACGTGTGTCCCAATTCTGCAGACCCTCAAGTTCCTGTGGTTCCAACCCCAGGGCCCTCCCGCTCCCCTTCCCTCCTCCACACTAGCTCTCAAGCTCCCAGTTACCCTCCCTACCACTCCCACATTCATTCCTGCTCACAGACAAGCCCCCACTTGCTCACCCTCACTTTCCTCCCCCTTCCACACACAGGCACGTTTGCTTCTGCTCACACCTTCCCTTGTACTTAAACTCACTCACATTCCAATGCATACACACTCGCTCACTCACACACAGACACTTACACTTGGATCACAAAACCTGAGCACATACACCCGAACGATCCCAGGGCACGCCTCGGTACCTCAGTTGTCCATCCCTCCCAGTGACAAGCAGGCACTACCCACCTCTCCTGAGGCACACTGCCCTCGGCAGACCCCTTCCTGGGCCACGCACTGACCCCCCCAGCCCCGCAGGACTGTATCCTCCCGGCTGCTTCCCCTCCTCCAGTCTCAGCTCCCCAGCCCCTCCCAGCTCTCAGAATAGCCCCTGCCGCTGTCGCCACCGCCACCTCCACTGCTGCCACTGCTGAGCTGTCAGGGCCCGCCAGAGCCCGCTTCCCCAGCACGGTGCCAGCTGTCTCGGCTCACTCGGGGCAAGTGAGGACAGAGGACAGGCTTCTCTGAGGTCTGATGGGCGTAGCTGCTCTGCACCCCCAAGAACCCCCTCCCAGAACCCACCTGGAAGACAATCAGCTTTCGGGGGAGCCCACTGCCACTTGCCCAGCATTTTCCCAGTCCCCAAAGGACTTTGCCTGTGTCCCTTTTGGTCCTCAAAAGCCCGGAGAGGGCTGCCTCTCCTTCGTGGCTGAGATAAGCCGAGGCCTGGGCGGGGGGGTTTGGTTAAGGCAGGGCAGTGAGTTGGGAGCAGAGCCAGACCAGGGCCAGCCATTCCTAACCCTCCTGGGGGACTTGAGGGGACCCTCCCCTAAACTGCACAGAGAGCAAGAACCACCCCCCTGCCCCCGCCTGCCGGTACTGAGAGCAGAGCCTGGTTGACATTTGATGCCACAGTTGTCAGGAGAAGAGAACAGCACAGGGGTGATGTCTGGGGACGCCTCTGGAGGGGGAGGGGCTGGTGCCCAGCGGAGGCCTCCAGGGGTAGAAGGGGGAGCGTCTGCAGAAGCCAGAGGGGACATCAGGACAGCTGGGAGAGCCTCCAAGGCAGGCTCAGGCCTGGCCCAGGGACAGTGTCAGGGAGTGGGCGGGGCTGAGCTGAGGCTGCTGGCTGAGGGGGACAGTGCAGCCGAGGAGGGCACTGAGGCAAGGCCCGAGGCGCCTTCAACTGCCTTCACGGTCCAGGCCTGGGCCAGGGAGTCCTGCGGGCTCGGGGAGGCGGCTTAGACCTGTGGCTGCTCAGTGCCCAAAAGCATGGGGCCCAGGTCAAGAGGGCCTTGTGTCCCCCTGGGCCAGGAGTCTGTACCGCCACCGACAGTGGCAGAGAAGTAGTGCTGAAGTGAGCTACTCTTATAGGCCAAGCCTGTCCCATCCACCATCCCACTTAACGCTATATCCTTATCCCCCTAAGTTTTATTGAGCACTTGCTAAGTGCCAGCCCCTGCAGAGTAACTGCCAGGCATGATACTCCTTGGGAGCAAGAACTCTACCCATCTTGTTCACTGCTGTGTCCCCAGGAGCCAAAGCGGGGGCTGGCACAGAGACTTTCAATACACATTTGTGGAATGGCAGGATAAACGCGTTGTATTCTCACAACCACCCAAGAGGCAGACGCTATTATTCCCATTTTCTAGATGAAGAAAGTGAGGCTCAGAGTAGGGAAGTGAGTAGCCTGCTTCCCTGAGACTCAAACTGGAGTCTGGGTTTGCTCCTTGCACAGCACTAGAGGTAGGGGAAAATGAGCTTCGGGGCAAATCACTTCCCTTCTCTGAGCCTCACTTTCCTCATCTGTGAAACGGGAATGGCTATACTTACCTGTAGGGGATGATTAAGACCACCTGTGTACAGTGCACAGCACGGAGCCGGCAAAGAGCAAATGCCAGACAAATGTATGCCCCCCTCATCCTACTCCATGTTGGGCTTGCCTGATGTCCTAAATTTCCACACAGCCACACCTGGTATCCATGATGCCTGTAAGTCACCCCTTTTTCTGTACAACAGGAAGTAGGCGTATGAGTTTGCTGGGGCTGCTGTAACAAAGTACCGAAGTGGCTTAAAGGAACAGGAATTTATTGTCTCACAGTTCTGGAGACTAGCAGCCTGAAATCAAGGTG